ATAAAGACAGACAGAAAAACAGACAGACAAACAGACAGACGAAGTTGGCTACTGGGTGCCATTCCCCTCAGAGAGAGATGTCATTCGCAAGTTTCTGGCACGCAGTAGCCGAATTCAAGGTTGCATGTCTGTGTGTGTGTGTGTGTGTGTGTGTGTGTGTGTGTGTGTGTGTGTGTGTGTGTCTGTGTGTGTGTGTGTGTGGGAGAGAGACATACAGGCAGACAGACAGACAGATCCACAGACAGACATACATACACATAGACGGACAGACTGGCAGATAGACAAACAAACAGACAGACAGACGGACAGTCAGACAGACAGAGACGTCCGCGCAACTGCTCAACAGAGACGCCATATTGCTAGGAAGGTCATCCTTAACAGACGTCACACCCTCGTCACAAAGACCGTATTCTTCCACGGTTTTCATACAATGCCGAATATAGTCTTCTGCGAAGGCCAAGAGGTCAACGACACTGCGTCCTGAAGCAGATAGCGAACCTGTGGTATACGCTTGGCTATCGTAGGATGCTCACCCCTCCTTCAGCACACACTTGCCAGGGCTGGCACAAGACGCGACATTCCGTCGTTGTGATTCCCCCTTAGTTCTCTCTGTGACATTGGCTGCGAACCGATTCAAGACCGCAGTGCGCCTGCGCCTTTCAATATCCAACCATGTCTGGAACTCATCAAACGTGGTGGTCTTTGTTTCAGCTATTGCCTTGTCTGGCAGACATGTCCTCCCTCAGACGAGTTATGTCTAAACATTTAGGATCGTCCAGTAACAACCAGAACATGGTGAACATCCTGTGTTCCGCAGTTTCTGTCATTTCGTCGAGCAGTGACTTAACACGGCCTAGTTCATCCGAGAACTCTTTCACCAATTGTTTCTGCTTATCCACCTCCTCTCTTAGCCTGTCTATATGTTCTCGCTGTTTGTCTACTATACGACCCTTGTTGGGTTCCATGTCAGTCGTCTTATCTTCTTTGGCCCCCGGTAGTAGAAAGTCATCCACCGTTGCATGACACTCTTTGCCCGACTTTCTCTTCTGTCCGATTTTGGCCACTCTTGACATCTGAAAACGGTTGTATATACAGAGAAATACGTGTGGAGAGAGAGAGAGAGAGAGAGAGAGAGAGAGAGAGAGAGAGGGACGGGGGGGGCGCAGAGACAGGGTCTCACTACTTCCTCACTTTTTCTCAACGGGCTCCTACAAAATATTGCCTATATGTGCATGGAAACATACATTATTATTTTGTACTGGACATCAGTGTTTCCCCCATACATGACTTGATATCACACAGACAACACGCCTTAACAAAAAGAAAGCAGACCATTCTTCCAAACGCATCCGTCCGAATAAGGGAGTGAGAGAGACATGAACGCAAGAAAGAAAGATTGTAGAAAGAGAGAGAGAGAGAGAGAGAGAGAGAGAGAGAGAGAGAGAGAGAGAGTAACAGAATAAAAGAGACGTCAGGAATAAACAAAGAAGGAACCGTCGGGCAAACGAAAACGTATGGAGTTTGCTACTGCGGGCTAAAATCGCACTTATGTGCATCGTTCTATGCGTTCGTGGCCCGCAGTAGTGAACTCTCTCTCTCTCTCCTCTCATCTCTCTCTCTCTCTCTCTCTCTCTCTCTCTCTCTCTCTCTCTCTCTCTCTCTCTCATCTCTTTTTTTTTCTCTCTCTCT